ACGACCTCATCGTTCCTGGCTAAGCGTTTAAGACACAACCATCATGAACCATCTGAGACACACCCAGACCCCATGGCTTCAAATGTATGACCTCATCGTTCCTGGCTAAGCGTCTTAGACACAACCATCATGAACCATCTGAGACACACCCAGACCCCATGGCTTCAAATGTATGACCTCATCGTTCCTGGCTAAGCGTCTTAGACACGACCAGACCCCATGGCTTCAAATGTATGACCTCATCGGTCCTGGCTAAGCGTCTTAGACACAACCATCATGAACCATCTGAGACACAACCAGACCCCATGGCTTCAAATGTACGACCTCATCGTTCCTGGCTAAGCGTCTTAGACACAACCATCATGAACCATCTGAGACACGACCAGACCCCATGGCTTCAAATGTATGACCTCATCGGTCCTGGCTAAGCGTCTTAGACACAACCATCTGAGACACAACCAGACCCCATGGCTTCAAATGTATGACCTCATCGTTCCTGGCTAAGCGTCTTAGACACGCCCACCATGAACCATCTGAGACACAACCAGACCCCATGGCTTCAAATGTACGACCTCATCGGTCCTGGCTAAACGTCTTAGACACAACCATCTGAGACACAACCAGACCCCATGGCTTCAAATGTATGACCTCATCGGTCCTGGCTAAGCGTCTTAGACACGCCCACCATGAACCATCTGAGACACAACCAGACCCCATGGCTTCAAATGTATGACCTCATCGTTTCTGGCTAAGCGTCTTAGACACGACCAGACCCCATGGCTTCAAATGTATGACCTCATCGGTCCTGACTAAGCGTCTTAGACACAACCATCTGAGACACAACCAGACCCCATGGCTTCAAATGTACGACCTCATCGGTCCTGGCTAAGCGTCTTAGACACGACCAGACCCCATGGCTTCAAATGTATGACCTCATCGTTCCTGGCTAAGCGTCTTAGACACAACCATCATGAACCATCTGAGACACAACCAGACCCCATGATTTCAAATGTATGACCTCATCGTTCCTGGCTAAGCATCTTAGACACGACCATCATGAACCATCCGAGACACAACCAGACCCCATGGCTTCAAATGTATGACCTCATCGTTCCTGGCTAAGCGTCTTAGACACGCCCACCATGAACCATCTGAGACACACCCAGACCCCATGGCTTCAAATGTACGACCTCATCGTTCCTGGCTAAGCGTCTTAGACACAACCATCTGAGACACAACCAGACCCCATGGCTTCAAATGTATGACCTCATTGGTCCTGGCTAAGCATCTTAGACACGACCATCATGAACCATCTGAGACACACCCAGACCCCATGGCTTCAAATGTATGACCTCATCGTTCCTGGCTAAGCGTCTTAGACACGGCCATCATGAACCATCTGAGACACACCCAGACCCCATGGCTTCAAATGTACGACCTCATCGTTCCTGGCAAAACGTCTTAGACACGGCCATCAAGAACCATCTGAGACACACCCAGACCCCATGGCTTCAAATGTATGACCTCATCGTTCCTGGCTAAGCGTCTTAGACACGCCCACCATGAACCATCTGAGACACACCCAGACCCCATGGCTTCAAATGTACGACCTCATCGGTCCTGGCTAAGCGTCTTAGACACAACCATCTGAGACACACTCAGACCCCATGGCTTCAAATGTATGACCTCATCGTTCCTGGCTAAGCGTCTTAGACACGACCATCATGAACCATCTGAGACACACTCAGACCCCATGGCTTCAAATGTACGACCTCATCGGTCCTGGCTAAGCGTCTTAGACACAACCATCTGAGACACACTCAGACCCCATGGCTTCAAATGTACGACCTCATCGTTCCTGGCTAAGCGTCTTGGACACGCCCACCATGAACCATCTGACACGGGACACAACCATGGCTTCAAACGCATGACGTCATCCACCCCGGCTATTACGAATCCCATAACACGCACGAGCACAGGGAGACACACCAAGACTCATGGGGCGCTGGATCCCGGGACGTGAGTGTTGCTGGCTAAGTGTATAACGGCGCGGCCATTATGAACCGCAGGAGGAGGAGGAGGAGGAGAGACACTCATCCCTGGGGGGCGTAAACCACGGACTTGCTGGCTCAGCGTCTCCGCGGACGCGGCGGTTGCGAGCGAACGTCCCCACCACCGTCCGGGGGTTACTCGGCAATTTGCCGTCGCGGTCGAGAGCTCGTTAGCGGCGGCGGCCAATCAGCAAGAGCTTCGACTCATTAATCTGGGACCGACCCCCTCCAGGGCCCCCTCCCCCCCTTGACCCCCCCCCCCGCCCCCCACGGCCCCCACCCTCCGAAGACGGACGAGAGAAATAAAATTCCACCGCGCCACGGTATGACCACACAACCACCACCACCACCATTATCATCAGGAATATTTTGCTGTGTTTTTTTTCCATGGATTTTCTATTTGCACAGTCGCACAGTCACTTTAAGATGTTTTTCTTGTTCGTGTTTTTGTTTTTTTGTTTGTTGTGGTTGCACCCGATTCAAGAGCCGAATGGCTCACAGGGCTGTACCAAAATAAATAAAGATAAATCAACTGAAAATCATCATCACAAAGACAAGACAAAGATCCCCGCACCTCGGCATAGCCTTCAACAGGCTGTCGGTCGGGGCAAGTGCTGTCAGTAGCGAGGGGCAAGTGGTGTTAGTAGCCAGTAGCAGCGCCTATGAATGTCCGACACAGCGGTACACACGATGGGGTGGGATGGCCAGCGCCATGCCCCACCTGGCCGCCTTTGTCTCCCCGGTGGCGATGTTTTTACACACAGCACCAGGCACTCATTTGAGGCTGAGTCGACGTAGGGGGGAGGGCCCAGAAATCGGTTCAAATATTCGACACCGAAGTTGGCCATGAAACGGGATTCGAACTCGGCTCGCCGGGTTCGCAGCGCCAACACTCGCAGCTACGCCACCGCCCCAAACAGCCACCACCACCACCACTACTACAAACACAACAGCCACCACAATCACCACCGCAATCACGACCACCACAGGCCAATCACCATCACATCCACCTCCTCAATTACCACCACCAGCATCACCGCCCTCCACCGGTTCCAAAATGAATTTTTAAAAAAATACGCTTGTAACAATAATAATAACAAAAACAACCATGGCCGTCTCTACGCTACCCGTCATGAGTAGGTGGTTTGGGGTGGTGGCACGGGGGACGTGCCGGGATGCTGTTACTGCGACAATAAACCAAACACTCAATGATAAACTAGTTTTATTATTTACACGCTTTTTATTAACTCACTATTCTGTCTGTCTGTTGTTGTTGTTGTCGTCGTTGATGTATCCTCAAACCTTGTAACTCAATTTTAACCCACTTCCCAATGTGGTATCGACTGAAAACTTGGTACAGCAAAAACCTTGGGATTGCGAGCATAATTCGTTCCGGAAACGTGTTTGTAATCCAAAGCACCCGTAGTATATCAGTTGTGATCACGTGACGCTCGGTGAGACAAAGCGTACTACACGTACACTGCTCGTATTGCAAGACCCTCGCTCATTTATCAAATTAACATTTAGTTCTAGATTTGAAGCTTTCGTGACTGCAAGGATCCATACTCATTGGTTCTATTCGGTAAAGTCACGTAGTAGGTAAAAAATAAAACAACAAAAATCACGACGTTTCGGCCACAACACAAGTAGCCTTCTTCAGGTGAAGGAACAGAACTGTCGGGACGACAGAGCTTCAATGAACGCTGCTAAGATTCGCAGCGTCTTTTAAGCGGGGTGAGAGAAAGTGAGGCACCTTGACAAATATTTAGTTACAAATTTTTGCTCGTCGTTGCAAAACACTCGCAGGCCAAGTTACTCGCAATCCACAAGGTTTTACTGTATACGTATGTCGCACTGATTGCGATACTATATTCCATCATCAAAAAATAAACACTATATATTTTTTAAACATTATTTTTTTTACACGTTATATTTCGGCTTGGGTCTGATTGTCCACGGTCAACTGACGTTGCCTGTAATTGGCCACGGTCCCTTACGTTGTGGCAAGCTTCGGGGGCCCACTTCCTGTAGTTTTGTTTGCCATTACTGGTACATTTCATTAAAGCGTGGTTTTAAAAAAAAGTTTTTTTTAAATGTTACTCTTTTTTTACCAGATAAGGCCCCCACCGAGCCATGTAAAACTTTTTCAGAAGCGACCTGGCTATCACAAATCATAGTAGCTCATCATCATCATCACGTGGAATTGTATAGCAACAGTCAAACACTCTGAAGGCACGTCGATTCTAAATGTGGAGGCAAACAACCGACCGGCCTGGAGAAACATCCACGTGACCACCACGGAGAGACGCACACAAATTCCAAATATACAGCATGTGTCAGGGTCGGGATTGAACCCACGACCTCGTGCATACCAGGCGAGGGAGATAACATCTCAGCCAAATACAGGCATCGTCAGGGTCGGGATGAACCCACGACCTCCTGCGTACCGGGCGAGGGAGATAACATCTCTCAGCCAAATAAAGGCATCGTCAGGGTCGGGATTGAACCGACGACCTTTCGCATACCAGGCGAGGGAGATAACATCTCAGCCAAATACAGGCATCGTCAGGGTCGGGATGAACCCACGACCTCCTGCGTACCGGGCGAGGGAGATAACATCTCAGCCAAATACAGGCATCGTCAGGGTCGGGATTGAACCGACGACCTTTCGCATACCAGGCGAGGGAGATAACATCTCAGCCAAATACAGGCATCGTCAGGGTCGGGATTGAACCCACGACCTTTCGCATACCAGGCGAGGGAGATAACATCTCAGCCAAATACAGGCATCGTCAGGGTGGGGATGGACCCACGACCTCCTGCGTACCGGGCGAGGTAGTTAACATCTCGCCACCACCGCGGTGGCACCCTGAAAGAACAGCAGATACACACGAACACAACGTGGTGGTGGAGACTGTTACTGCTGCTGCGACCGCTGCTGCAACTCACTGTGAGGGCGGCCGGCGTCTCGACTCTGGGCGGATGCACCTAAGGAGCTCCGGGGCCAGGTGAGACGGGGGAGAGCATCAGGGCTGTAACGGCGTATGGGGGGGGAGCGGGGGGGAGAGAGGCAGGGCAAGAGCGAGAACAGGGATGAGACCAGGTCGCAGCAAAAAACAACTACCAGCACCGTCAACAGCAGCAGCAGCAGCATCATCACCACCATCATCACCGGCAGCAGCATCACCAGCAGCAGTAGCATCACCAGCAGCACCATCACCACCATCATCACCAGCAGCAGTAGCAGCATCACCAGCAGCAGCATCACCAGCAGCAGTAGCAGCATCACCAGCAGCAGTAGCAGCATCACCAGCAGCAGTAGCATCACCACCACCACCAGCATCACCACCAGCATCATCATCACCACCAGCATCATCATCATCACCACCAGCATCATCATCATCATCACCACCAGCATCATCATCATCATCACCACCAGCAGCATCATCATCACCACCAGCATCATCATCATCACCACCACCAGCATCATCATCATCACCACCAGCATCATCACCACCAGCATCATCATCATCACCACCACCAGCATCATCATCATCATCACCACCAGCATCATCATCACCAGCATCATCATCATCACCATCACCACGACCAGCATCACCACTATCACCATCACCAGCACCATTAATTAGGAAGAAGATCCCCTGCATACGCTTTGGTTCTTTCGGCAAAAGTAACGTAGGTAGAAAAATAAAACAGAATAAAAATAATATCTCACGACGTTTCGATCGCAACACAACCGGTCATCCTCGGGCAGAAAAAAATGATCCAGCAGTGGAGCTGCTGAACTGTGTAGCCTTAACATACGGCTGAGGCAAATGGTGGTTGTTAGCGAGCACCTATGAAGGCCAGCACGGCTGACGAGGGGGCGGGTGGCCAACACCATAACCCGGCCGCCTTCATCTCCCGAGTGGCGATGCTTAATACACACTGCACCAGCAAATTATTTGAAGCCGCTTCGACCCAGGGGAGAACCAAGACAAGTTCAGATAACCGTCGCCGGTGTTGGCGGCGATCGGGAATCGAACTCGGTACACTTGCCACTTCTCCACCGACGTCCTCACACACACAGGCGACACACTTACGCTGGCACCCACTTGGCCATTCTCTGTTGGCAAAGGGCCAATCTGTCTCTCTCCCCCTTTCCAGCAGCAGCAGCAGCAACAACAACCACCACCACCACCGCTCTGAGCAACGCACTGGCGATTAGAGGGCCAAAATAATAGGCTACAGGTATGTTGCACGCATGCACGTTCAACTTCTCTGGCATCGTGCGTAGCCGACCGCGCTGATCGGAGGTGCGGGTGGGGGGGAGAACTAACTAACCGTAACCAAGAATAAGCAGTCGGATAGAAATTTAGTTTGTCAATTCAGATGATGATTTAAAAGTGGAACTCCCAGTGGATTCCTAATATTGGAAGGAAGAGCGTTCCAGACCGCCGCAGAAGGCCATCTTAAAGCGCGCGATGCATTGTGCGAGTCCATGCGGTCTGTGTGATGAGTCTGTGGGTCTCTGCGTGATGAGTCTGTGGGTCTGTGTGATGAGTCTGTGGGTCTCTGTGTGATGAGTCTATGGGTCTCTGTGTGATGAGTCTATGGGTCTCTGCGTGATGAGTCTATGGGTCTCTGTGTGATGAGTCTATGGGTCTCTGCGTGATGAGTCTATGGGTCTCTGCGTGATGAGTTAATGGGTCTCTGTGTGATGAGTCTATGGGTCTCTGTGTGATGAGTCTATGGGGTCTCTGTGTGACGAGTCTATGGGTCTCTGTGTGATGAGTCTATGGGTCTCTGTGTGCTGAGTCTATGGGTCTCTGTGTGCTGAGTCTGTGGGTCTCTGTGTGATGAGTCTATGGGTCTCTGTGTGATGAGTCTATGGGTCTCTGTGTGCTGAGTCTATGGGTCTCTGTGTGACGAGTCTGTGGGTCTCTGTGTGATGAGTCTGTGGGTCTCTGTGTGATGAGTCTATGGGTCTCTGTGTGCTGAGTCTATGGGTCTCTGTGTGACGAGTCTGTGGGTCTCTGTGTGATGAGTCTGTGGGTCTCTGTGTGATGAGTTCATGGGTCTCTGTGTGATGAGTCTATGGGGTCTCTGTGTGACGAGTCTATGGGTCTCTGTGTGATGAGTCTATGGGTCTCTGTGTGCTGAGTCTATGGGTCTCTGTGTGCTGAGTCTGTGGGTCTCTGTGTGATGAGTCTATGGGTCTCTGTGTGATGAGTCTATGGGTCTCTGTGTGCTGAGTCTATGGGTCTCTGTGTGACGAGTCTGTGGGTCTCTGTGTGATGAGTCTGTGGGTCTCTGTGTGATGAGTCTATGGGTCTCTGTGTGCTGAGTCTATGGGTCTCTGTGTGACGAGTCTGTGGGTCTCTGTGTGATGAGTCTGTGGGTCTCTGTGTGATGAGTTCATGGGTCTCTGTGTGATGAGTCTATGGGTCTCTGTGTGATGAGTCTATGGGTCTCTGTGTGATGAGTCTGTGGGTCTGTGTGATGAGTCTATGGGTCTCTGTGTGACGAGTCTATGGGTCTCTGTGTGACGAGTCTATGGGTCTCTGTGTGCTGAGTCTATGGGTCTCTGTGTGACGAGTCTATGGGTCTCTGTGTGCTGAGTCTATGGGTCTCTGTGTGACGAGTCTATGGGTCTCTGTGTGACGAGTCTATGGGTCTCTGTGTGCTGAGTCTATGGGTCTCTGTGTGACGAGTCTATGGGTCTCTGTGTGACGAGTCTATGGGTCTCTGTGTGCTGAGTCTATGGGTCTCTGTGTGACGAGTCTGTGGGTCTCTGTGTGCTGAGTCTATGGGTCTCTGTGTGACGAGTCTATGGGTCTCTGTGTGATGAGTCTATGGGTCTCTGTGTGACGAGTCTATGGGTCTCTGTGTGACGAGTCTATGGGTCTCTGTGTGCTGAGTCTATGGGTCTCTGTGTGACGAGTCTATGGGTCTCTGTGTGCTGAGTCTATGGGTCTCTGTGTGACGAGTCTGTGGGTCTCTGTGTGCTGAGTCTATGGGTCTCTGTGTGACGAGTCTGTGGGTCTCTGTGTGCTGAGTCTATGGGTCTCTGTGTGACGAGTCTATGGGTCTCTATGTGATGAGTCTCTGTGTGATGAGTCTATGGGTCTCTGTGTGCTGAGTCTATGGGTCTCTGTGTGACGAGTCTATGGGTCTCTATGTGATGAGTCTCTGTGTGATGAGTCTATGGGTCTCTGTGTGCTGAGTCTATGGGTCTCTGTGTGACGAGTCTGTGGGTCTCTATGTGTGAGTCTATGGGTCTCTGTGTGACGAGTCTGTGCACCTCAATGTATGTTGAACTTCTTTCGCAGGCGTACGTAGCCAACCGCGTGAATCGGAGGTGCGGGGAAGGACAACAAACTAAACACAACAGCAGCAGCAGCGCTGAAGCAATGAGTCTTCAACAAATTAATTTTCAATCCAGATTCACGATGACGATGAGCCGCCACTTCGACGAGCCGCCATCATTCGTGATGGCCCAGGGGTGGCCTCTGAAATAATTGAGCTACGGCATAGCGGCGGGGGGGGGGGCCCTTACACCTGGTACGATACAATAACAAAAACGTAGTTTGGTTCGAGTTGAATATTAACGCCGCGCGTACAAAACGCCCGCCAGCTTCACCGACCGGCACTGACTTGAGCGTGGTGAAGTACGGTCAAATAACCCCCACGGGACCCCCGCTCGCCCCCCACCCCCGCCCTGGCACGGCGAGGCCCCCTTCCAGCACAGTCGATGGTGGGGCATTGCGGGCGCTTTTGGTGAGTGGTTGATGAATTACCCCCCCCCCCATCCTCCCTCCCCGCTCCCACCCCTGCCCCCCCTCGTCTCGTGGACGGGAGTTAACGGTGAAACAGCCGCGACCCCCTTGCTCCCAAACCCCTCGACCCTACCCCCCTCGATACCTCTCACACACTCACCCACCCACCCACTCACCACCCACCCCCATTCGCATATTTTGAAAAGCGACCCCTAGCACACAGCTGGCTCTTACGTAAGGTCTTAGCAATGCGAGCGTGTGAGTGTGTATGGGTGTCCTCGTGTGTACGAGTGTGTGTGGTTGTCCATGTGTGGGTGACTGTGTGCGAGTGTCCGTGTATGTGTGCGAGTGTCCGTGTATGTGTGCGAGTGTCCGTGTGTGTGTGTCCATGTGTGTGTGAGCGTGTGATTGTGTGTGGGTGTCCGTGTGTGTGAGTGTGTGTGTGTCCGTGTGTGTACGAGTGTGTGTGGATGTCCATGTGTGGGTGACTGTGTGCGAGTGTCCGTGTATGTGTGCGAGTGTCCGTGTGTGTGTGTGTCCATGTGTGTGTGTGTGAGCGTGATTGTGTGTGGGTGTCCGTGTGTGTGAGTGTGTGTGGGTGTCCGTGTGTGTCCGTCCATGTGTGTGTGTGAGCGTCGTGGTGACGTCACCGCCACTTAGTGGTGAATTGGCGGTTGTTGTGTGAGCGTGTGATTGTGTGCGAGAGTTCGTGTGAGAGTCCGTGTGGATGTGTGTGTGTGTGGGTATCCGTGTGTTGTGGGTGTGTGTGGGTGTGTGTGAGTGTGTGTCCGCGTGTGGGGAGCGATAGTGTAGCGGTTAGCGCGCTGCGCTGTGAACCTGGCGACCCGGGTTCGATTCCCGCTCACGGCCAACACCAGTGACGATTATCTGAACCGGTCATGGGCCTCCCCTAGGTCAACTCAGCCTCAAATGAGTACCTGGTGCAGTATGTAAACATTGCCACTAGGGAGACAAAGGCGGTCGGGCGTGGTGCTGGCCACCCACCCCCTCGTGTGCCGTTCCGGCCTTCATAGGTGCTCGCTAACAGCACTTGCCCCTACAGTATGTTAAGGCTATATGGGGGATCTTTGTCTTTGTTTGTCCGCGTGTGTGGGGAGCGGTAGAGTTAGCACGCTGCTCTACGAACCCGGCGGGCCTGGGTTCAATTCCGGCTCACGGCCAACACCAGCGCCGATTATCTGAACCGGTCATGGGCCTCCCCCAGGTCAACCGAGCCTCAAATGAGTACCTGG